AGGACAGAGGGCAGGACAGAGGACAGGACAGTCAGGACAGACGGCAGGACACACACAGGGCAGGACAGGCAGGACACAGGACACAGGGCAGGACAGAGGGCACAGAACAGATGGCAGGACAGATTGCAGGACAGACGGCAGGACACAGGGCAGGACACAGGACACAGGACAGATGGCAGGACAGATGGCAGGACACAGGACAGACAGCAGGACACAGGGCAGGACAGAGCCTTTGGGGCCGCTGGCGCTGCCTGCGGCCCCGGTCTGGGCACGGCGGGTGCCCCGGCAGCCCCGGGCACCGTCCCCGCTGCGAGCCCGCCGGCCCCGGGGAGGGAGCGCTCGGGGGATGCCGCGGCTCCCTCGCTGCCGCCGCCGCGCCGATCCCGACAAGGCTCCAAGGAGCCGCTCTGGCCACCGGGCGAGTCCATGCCCGTTCCTGGGAGCCCCCCGCGAGCCCCCCGCCCCAAACGGCCGCGCCCCCGCGCGCCGGGGGTTCCGCAGCGCTCCCGCCGCCGCAGCCGGGCCGGCCGCTCTCCGGCCGCTCCCCCCGCGCCTCTCCCTCCCTCTCCCGGCCCGAGAGCCACGCCGGCATCCCGGCTTCGCAGCCCGGTCCGAGCCGGCGCCACGTCCCCGCCCGCCCGAGCTGCCGGCTCGCTCCGAGGGACGCTGCGCTTGGGGTCGCTCCCTGCTCCCGGTTGGTTTTGGGGACCGGGGGAAGGGAGAGGTGGCAAACAAATGGCATCGCAGCGAAGGATGGGATAGGAGGGGACGGATGAGTATTTTAGGGTCGAGGGGTTGGACCCTCTTGCTACCCGTGGCAGGAATGAGGAAAAAGCCTTGCTTGGTGGGATGGCAGGACTGGGTTTGTGTTGTTTAAGGGCAGGAGGGGACGTTGATTTCTTTCCTTTTTCCTGTGGCCAAAACCTCACTGGTCAGCGCCAGCCCGGCGGGTTTAGGGGTCTTAGTGGGAATTTCCCCGAGGTTCAGGGCTGTAAAACCCTCGGGACAGGCGTGCGGCTCCGTGCCCGGTGCTCGGGGAACGGCGTCACCCAGCGGCGCTGGGAACAGCCGCGTTCCAGATGTTCCAGCAACACCTGCCCAGCTGCCAGGCAGAACCTCAACCCTCTGCCCCTTCCTCCTGCAGCATCCTCCCCGCCGCCGCGTCCCCTCCAGGCCCAGCGCCGAGCCATGGGGTGCTCCAGCCCCGCGCTCAGCGCTCCGGCACCGCCGAGCTCCGGCGAGCCGGCCCTGCTGTGGCTGGCCGGCCTCACGGGCGCGCACATCGGCTTGGCGCCCATCTCCCAGGACCCCGAGGATCGCTGCAGCATCTGGGAGAACCTGGTGAGCCTGGTGAACTTCCAGTGCCCGGGGTTTCCCCTGAGCTCCGAGGAGCTCCGCCGCTACCTCGACATCCCGCGCTCGCCCTCCTCGGCGGCGGCCGCGACCCCCGCCCGCCGCCTGCCCCGGCCCCCCGAGCCCCCGGGGGACCCCGACTACCGGAGCGACGAGCGCCTCAAGCCGCCCTACTCCTACGCCAGCCTCATCTGCATGGCCATGGAAGCCAGCGAGCAGCCCAAACTCACCCTGGCCGCGATCTGCCAGTGGATCAGCGACAACTTCTGCTACTTTCGCCGCGCCCACCCCAGCTGGAAGGTAGGAGGAGGTCTGGAGCCCTCGGTGGGGCTCTCCGCGCAGCTCCGGCCCGCAGCGCCCCGCAGGATCGATGGGCAGGATCCAACCCCGGGCTTCTGTTCTTTTTTTGCGCGCAGAGCTCCATCCGGCACAACCTGTGCATCAACAAGCGCTTCGTCAAGGTGCCCCGCGAGAAGGGCGAGCCGGGCAGAGGCGCCTTCTGGAAGCTTCACCCCCAGTACGCCTCGTGGCTCAAGAGCAGCACCCGGCGAGGGCGCGGAGCCCTCCCCGAGCCCGGCCGGGCACCAAACCCCGGCGCAGCCCGGCCGGGAGCGCGGCGCCTCCTCCGCAGCCCCCGCGGCTCCTTCCAGGTGGGCGCGGAGCTGCAGCGGCTGCTGCGGGAGTTCGAGGAGTTCCAGAGCAGCCACGGAGGCGGCGGCCCCGCGGAGAACGGAGCGGGCCGGCAGGGCGAGCAGCGCTGGCCCCCGGCAGAAGAAGCCTCTTGGCCGGGCGAGCTGACGGAGCTGAAGGGCAGCAGCGAGTGGGACGCTCTGCTCGAAACTCAGGGAGATTTCGCGGCTTTTGGGCAGTTCCCACCTCCCACCCAGCCCGGACCCGCGAGGGTGCGGGGGCAGCAGCCGGGCTGGCCCCGAGTCCTCCCCGAGCTCAGCCCCGCCAAGCCGGGCTTGGAGGAGACCCTGGTGGCCGCGGCTTTCCTGGAGGCTGCGTGGCACCGGGAGGTGCGGGGGAACCTCCCCGGCTGCGTCCCCGTGGAGCAGGGGGCCGGAGACATCCCGGCCCCTCTGCCCAGCGGGATTTCAGGGATTGAGACTCTCTGGCCCGCTCAAGACTCTCTTAGAGATGGGAGATAGGAGATGAGATTAGGCTCAGAGGAGCTTTAGGGGTGGATGTAGATGGTTTTATGGATGAGGTTTCTTTTTGCTGCTTTCTGTTCTAGTTTTGGCTTGGGGAATGGTGCTGAAGATGTTTGGCCACTTAAAAATTTTTTTTCATTCGATTGGCAGTTTTTAAGAGATAGAATAAAGAAAAGAAAGCAGAGGATAAACTCCCGTTTCACCTTCTGGTTTCGCTCCGGCACCCTTGGCTCGGCCCTGGAGGCCGGGGAGATCTGCCCAGCCCTGCCCTGCCCACCCAGCCCAGGGCAGCTCCTCCCGTGCCCTGGGGGAAACTGAGGCACGGGCTGAGCTCGGGGTGCTCGGGAGCCGCTCCGAGCCGGGCCCGTCCCCTTCCCCACGCGGCTGGCAGCGCCTGGGGCTGACCCGGCCCCGGGACGGGACTGTCCCGGTGCCACTCCCGGGACTGTCCCGGTGCCACTCCCGGGACTGTCCCGGTGCCACTCCCGGGGACTGTCCCGGTGCCACTCCCGGGACTGTCCCGGTGCCATTCCCGGGACTGTCCCGGTGCCACTCCTGGGACTGTCCCGGTGCCACTGCCGGGGACTGTCCTGGTGCCACTGCCCGGGACTGTCCCGGTGCCACTCCCGGGACTGTCCCGGTGCCACCCCAGCCCTGGGGATGCTCTGAGGAGCTCCGGGGCCCTCATGTCCCCAGTGTGTCCCCAGTGTATCCCAAATGCCCTCAGTGTGTCCCCCATGGCCCCCCAGTGCCCCCAGTGTGCCCCCAGTGTGCCCCCAGTGTCCCAAATGTCCCCCGTGTGTCCCCAATGTGTCCCCAGTGTGTCCCCAATGTCCCCCCAGTGTCCCCGTGCCCCCCAGCCCGTGACACTCCAGCCCTTTGTGTCCCTCAAGGACACCTCCGAGCCCTGTGCCCCCAAAAGTGCCCCCAAAGGTGCCCCCAGACCCATCGTGCCCCATCCCAGCACCCCCAAAGGTGCCCCAAAGGTGCCCCCGGCCCCCAAAGGTGCCCCCAGCCCCAATGCACCCCACCCCAGCACCCCCAAAGGTGCCCCAAAGGTGCCCCCAAAGGTGCCCCCAGCCCCCAAAGGTGCCCCCCCAGCCCCACGGCTCCACTCTCGCCGTGCCCCCCGCCCCATGCGCCCGCGGGTGTGACACGAGGGGACAGCGCCACCCACGAGGCCACGCGAAGCCACCACGGCCGTGTCCTCCCTGCTTTATTCGCGTGGGGACGGGGACAGCCCCGGGAAGGCAGCGGGGCGGCGGCGGTGGCGCGGCGGTGACACCCCGGGGGCGGCATCGGGGAGGTGACATCGGGGAGGTGACATCCCGGGGGTGACATCCCGGGGGTGACATCCCGGGGGTGACATCCCGGGGGTGACACCCCGGTGGTGACATCCCGGGGGTGACATCCCGGGGGTGACATCCCGGCGGTGGCAGCGAGGCGGTGGCAGCGAGGCGGTGGCAGCACAGCGGGGACATCCCGGTGACACCCGGGGACATCCCGGGGGTGGCACGGTGGTGGCATCATGGTGACAACGTGGGGACATCCCGGTGACATCTTGGGGACGTCCAGGGGACATCCCAGCGGTGACATCCGGGGACGTCCCAGTGGTGACATCTTGGGGACATCCCGGTGACAATCTGGGGACGTCCCAGTGACAATCCAGGGACATCCCAGCGGTGACATCCGGGGACATCCCAGCGGTGACATCTTTGGGACATTTTGGGGACATCCCGGTGGCATCTTGGGGACATCCCAGCGGTGACATCCGGGGACGTCCCAGCGGTGACATCTTTGGGACATTTTGGGGACATCCCGGTGGCATCCAGAGACATGTCCAGGACATCCCAGGTGACATTTTGGGGACATCCGGAGACATCCCAGGGAAATCCCGGTGACAATCCAGAGACATCCAGGGATGTCCCAGCAGTGACATCTTGGGGACATCGCGGTGACATTTTGGGGACATCCCGGCGGTGGCAGCAGCAGCTCGAACAAGCGACCCCCGGAATTGGGGGGGGG